TGTAGAGGTCTCAATTCATAATCAGCTGGCTCTAAGACAGGGTGGCATGGCAGAGGGGCATTGCAGAACAGGCAGGAGGCAGCAGGAGACAAGCGACAGCCTCAGAAGCAGCAAGTGACAAAATACCCTAGCAGCCCTCTTTCCAACCCTTATATTCTGTCCAGGCTATACATCCTTAGGGCAGGTAGCACTCACACCCAGGGAGGGCCTTTCCATTATCCACTCCTAGAACTATGCTAAACCAGCCAGTGAACTAATTTAGTAATCACACACCATTGATCCCAGCATCACACACTTAATCCCAGAATCATACACTCTAGATCCAGCCACCTATGAAAAGCCCCACCTATGGGCACACGATATTTTGGGAGGACATCTAGACACAAGCGATAACACATGCATATCCATGTATATAGCAGTACAAGTCACAATAGCGAAATTATGGAAACAGTCTATATGCCCATCAACAGATGAATAGGTAAAGAAAAGGTGGTATGCCTACAAAAGGGAGTATTACTCAGCCATAAAAGATAACTGTCATTTGTAGGAAAATGGGTGGATCTTTGACTATAGTGTTAAGTGAAATAAATCAGAGACACAAGGTTAAATATGTGATGGTTTTTCTTTACAGGAAATCCAAAATATAGATAATCTAAAGAGCAAAATAAAGGAGAGATGGTAGAAAATAGGGAGGCAGACTTTTTGGAGATAGGAAAGGGGATCTGGGGATGAGGGAAGAAAGGAAGTTTGGGAGGAAGGGATTAAAACTGATCAAGATATAGTATGCATATATATTAACTCCCCAAAATGAATGAATATAATTATTATATAATTACTATGTGTCACAAACATATAGAAATGAAAAATAAATTGAAAGAAAAAGTGGCCACATGCCACTCATTTCTTAGGTCTCCAAATGAATTCTCTTCCTTCAGAGAGCCTCTTTCTCTATTTTCCTGGCAAATGTTCCCACAATGCTTTCTGCTTCTCATGCAGTAAGAGCCAAGCCCTGAGTGATGGAGCCTGGTGACCCTTCAGCCCTCCATGGAGTGTGAGCTCCTTCAGAGTGGATACTCAGGGTGGAATCCCCCATGTTGTGTCACAGCACAGGGCCTGCCACAGAGTGGTGCTTCACTAGTGTTGCAGAAGGAATGTTGAACAAACTAGCCCTGGAGGTATTCACGGGCAATTTCTAACAAAACCTTGAGACCAAATCTGAATGCTCTGGATCAGGGGGTCTCCAATCCTCAGGTCATGGACCTGACCAGCCTATGGCCTTCTATGAACTGGGCCACACAGCAGGAGATGAGCAGCGGGCAAGGAAGTGAAGCTTCATCTGTATTTATAGACTGAGCTTCGCTTCCTGTCAGATCAGTGGCAACATTAGATTCTCATAGGAACCTGAACAATATTGTGAAGTGTGCATGTGAGGAATTTTGGTTGCATGCTCCTTTGAATCATCCCCAAACCATCCCACCTGCTCCAACAGGATCTTTGAAAAAATTGTCTTCCATGAAACCATCCCTGGTGCCCACAAGGCTGGGCACTGCTGCTGTAGATCTATTGGGGTGTGAGATATATTTAATCATGCTTTCTGGCACCCTGGTTTGTCTCTCTGGCCCTGTTGTCCATCTGCTCCTGAGTTTCTCTGGTCTGCCTTGCCGTATTTGCATGGAGGTATTGTATACCCTCTTTGCTCCATGCACATCCACTTGAGTCATCCATTGGCCTTCCTGGCACCATGTCTCTAGAGATGACTTCCAGTCTGCCTCTCTATGCCTCACTTCTCCCTGCACAGCCTGGGGGGCACCCACTAAAAGATCCCTAGCCTTGTCTGTTTAATTTGACCCCAGCCAACATGGATGTCAGTAATTTAACACTAGCACCACCATTTGGGCTTGTGCTTTGCAGGCAGATACTTCAGTCCACAATAATCTGCTAGTTGTCCACAGCTTCTATTTGTTTGGAGCAGGTGTAATCTATGCCCTTTTCTTTCTGTGCTCGTATAAAAACCCTTCTCTGAGACATGGTCTTTTCACTGAAGGGTAGCAGAAATAGCAGTGGGACCAGCTCTTTTTTTTTCACTACCACAGGTTTGACTTTGGGGAAATCACATGCCCTCCCCTAGCCTCAGTTTCCTTATCTGTAAAGATAACAAACAGGAACGTCTCCAAAGATGTTGTAAGAACTGGATAAAGCAGTCATTTAATTCTCTACCTAAGTGTGGGAAACCTTCCCAGGTGGAAGATCCTCAACATTTCTTTTGATGATGAATAAGGCATGGGCTGTTTCAAAAGCATGTTTAAGAAAATGTAGGGGAGGTATCTTGTAATATAAACGCAAGTAGACTAAAGACAGAGCTACTGCCTTCCTCCTTCTCTTGGCATCTCTCTTTGTCCTTGGTCCTATAGCCAAGCTGTCAGAGAGAGCTTGATTTTATTTCTGGGGAATCCCTATTGCTTTAAGGACCCCTGTAGGAGATATCTCCTAGCTGAATTGATGATTTACTGATTTTTTTTTTTGTCAGTGCCCTGCAAATGCCCACAGTACTCCAAACACTCATATCTGGCAGGCGGCTACAGTATCCTATATACTTCTGCCTAATGTTTGAAGGGTAGTTGTATGTTCAATAATAATCAGCTGTGTTTGTTCTCAATCTAATTATACCAGTTGTGCATTTTATTGTGATTGTAAAAGTTTATTTAAACAAAATGCAAAATGATGAAATTAATATGAAAATAATGAAACCAAAGCTTTGTGAAGGCTAAGACGAATACTTTGAAAATACTAGTTGAAGGGTGATACTGAACTGAGATAGGTGACATGTGAAAGCCCGGGGAAAATGATTTAAAAATCTAGAAGGACACTGCACTCACTGCTTTGGAAATACGCCTATGTCCTCACTCTCTTTACAAAAATGGACATTGAGGGCTGGGGATTTAGCTCAGTGGTTCTGGCACCTGCTTCGCAAGCACAAGGACCCAAGTTTGATCCCCGGTACCCAAAAAAAAAAGAATTTGGAAATTGAAAATCATATATAATGCATTATAGAAGACAGTGCTGAACATCAGAAGATTGGCGAATGAATATCCATTTTACGCTGAAAATTGAAATAAAATGTTTATAAATGTGTGTATCATTTTTTAGTGGTTCCTTCCCCTAAAAGATATATATTTATAAATTAACCCCATACCATTGGTCTTGGTTTAGTTATAAGAGGGTTTTCGCTGTCCCTGGCTGATATATTCTAAGCAGACAGACCCACTTCCACCTCTTTTTTTCCACTACTTGCCTCTCTCAGTTCATAATCCAATCCTTTGCCTCTTAACAAAGTCCTGGAGAATAAAAAACAGTTCTGTGTTCAGGGACTACTTTCTTTACACTTTTCTACGTTGTCTCTACTTGGAGTCATACTGCATCTTATTTGGTTGCCTCCTGCTGTATTTGCTATGCATGCTGCTTAGAAGCCTTTCCCACCTCACACCCTGAAGTGGTGTAAGTTCTCAAAGGAGAGAGGCAATTACAGCCAAAACGGGTACTGTGAAGGCATTTAAAGAATGTTGCTCATTCTGCAGTAGCTGACATGGCTAACAACACCAATAAAGATGCTAATCTTTAACCTCAGAAGCAGACAGAGAAGGCTCTCCCTCCCTTTCCAGTCTCTTAAGACCAACACACCATCATTATCACCATCTCACTGGATTCAATATGCACCTGGGAGATGTCCAGGTACATAAACAGGAAGTTTAAATGGCTTAGCCAAGGTCAAAGACAAATCTGTGGCTATAAGCCAACTCCATTTCATTTTCTAACAAGCCAACTTTTCTCCCAACCAAACTTTAGATTCATGACTCTCAGACATTTTCTCACATGATACATATGGTATGATAGATGGTGTTTCTATGTGAAATGCCCTCTGATTCTGATGACATTTGAAATATTTAAATTTTTGATCTATGGGGACAGAGCCTGCAAGTTATCCACCAAAAATTGTTTCTTGCCTTCCTTCCTTGGTCAGAGAACTCCCAGCTTCTCTTGCAACTAGATGTGGCTGTGTGACTGAGTGCTGGCCAATGATATGTGAGCAGAAGTGAGCAGAAAGTCCTAGAAAATTTCATAAGGGATGCTGATCCAGCTGAAAGGAGGACCCTTTTACCCTGGACCCTATTCTGTAGGCCCCTGTTTGCGGTTCCTGCAGTGCAAGTGGAAGGCAGGAGTCCTCTGTAGCTGTCTATAGCATTTAGTGACTGTGAAGATGGAGGTGAAGAGCTAAGATAATGAGGCAGACACAGAAAGGGACTTGAGCTCTTGATAAGAGAGCCAATGCACCAATGAGTTGGGAGGTAGGAGTGGTGTCATTTTACATGTGCCCATGACCTAGATCCAAATGCTATGACAAGAGGAGGAGTAAGTGTCACTGAAGGGGCTGTTTCTTTGGGTCCATTGGTCATTGGGACCCAAGAAAGCCAGTTGGGGCACGGGGAACAGAATATCTCACAGACCTGGAGGGAGAGGTCCTCATTTACCCTGTCTCTGTCTAGTACCTGCCATGTCCTAGTGCATGAGGACCTGAGGCACCACGAGGCCTTTGAATACTCCAGGTTTGTATAGTTTTGGGGGCCTCAGGGCCTTCCCCTGCCCTGTGTCCTCAGGAGGTCAGCAAGGCTGTGGGAGAGACCTTGGGGCCTTCCTGCCTCAAGCAGTGCTAAGGGCAACAACATCAACTATGTAGCTCAAAGCAGAGTTGAGTGTGGTTCTTGACCATGTGCGCTGGCTGGAGGAAACTGAGGTGCCCAGGGTGTCCCAGATCATTTAGGTAGAACATCTGACTATGAGACTTGAGTTGTGACCTCAGTTGTACACTCAGGCTGGAGAACTTAGAAACAAGAGATACAAGCAGGTGACATATACAGGTGACAGGATGTCCAGAAAGGCTGTGTTATTTCAGGAGGAACCAATCCCCCACATTGGCCCCACCTGGCTGCTTCTTTCAGACTGACCTGCCATCGGGAAATTCAGACCATCGGCTTATTTCTTCTTTCTTCTCAACTTCAAGGATGAAATTTTCTGGAGAGCAAAGGTTAGAGGTCTTTCCAGGCTAGAAGAGAAAGGAACAGATAAGGATGGGAATCCATAAGCACACTGACATCAGGCAGGGAATAAGGACTGCCTATTAGTTACATGGGTTTTCTGTGTTAGAACAAAGTTCAAGCTGACTGAATCAGTTTGGTAACACGAGCATTTTCCCCTGAGCTTTGACTTGATTTTCCAGCTACCAGCTCATATGTGATATTTTCCAGGTGAATGCTTTTCTGCAACCAGTCAACTTATTTTCTCTGTGGTTGAGTCTGATCTGCTGGCATCCTGGAAGAATCACTACTGACATCCAGAATCCAATCAATGCATTCAATTTCTGTGAAACAGACATTCAGAGAAACATACAAGCTTTAAAGCTGGAATGAAAACTTAGAGATGATAAAAACCCACCTATCATTTTATAGCTCAACAGAAGTGAGTGTTAGGAGAGGTTACATAGCTAATTAAGGTAAACTTGAGTGTGGAACCCGGGAAACCCTAACTCACAGTGATGAAATATTTTATTCTGCAATTTTACATCTGGATTCTCTTTGAATGGGTCAGATATACTAATAAAGGCTCAGGTTTCTGTTTTCTGTGTAGCTTTATTGGAAGAAATTTAAACATTTCTGAGGTACTTGCAGTCAAATTGGGCAGAATAATAAGCACAGATTCACCCTATGGTTTCTTTACACAGATCAAGGTCACCCATGAAGACTTTGCTCACCCTTTTTGAAGCATCTTATAAATTATAGTATTCCCCACTCCTTCTCCATTCCTTCTTCCTCTTCTTCACCCCTCCTGCTTTCTCTCCTCCTCCTCCCACCTCACCTTCCTAAGCTTCCTCCTCCTCCCTGCATTTGCACTTGCAGTCTGACGCCTTAGAGTGTAACATTCAACTGGTCTTTTTATCTCCATCAGCACATTTTCTATGTTATTCTTTCCCTCCGTCTTCCCACTTCTCCCGGAGATTTTGTTCTCCAAATTAAGGAACTATCAGAATTAATGAACAGGGGCTGGGGGATTTAGCTCAGTGGTTCTAGCACTTGCCTCAAAAGCCCAAGTTCCCAAGTTCAGACGTGTGTACCAAAAAAAAAAAAAAAAAAGAAAAGAACAGAATTAATGAACACATTTGTTCTCTCTATATGAAACGCATACTGAAATTATTGCATTTCTAAATCAGCCACATGTTCTGAATCTCCTGAGAGTTACCATAGTTGATGCTGCTTGATAACCTTGGGAACAAGATCACAGAGATGCAGGAGGTTTGGATGAGAGGAGCTTTTCCCGATCTGTGTTTGCCTGATTCTTTCATTTTCTATTTTGAACACATGCAGGTCTCTAAGCCAGAGGCAGTGACTAGGTTACACTGTGTGATCAGTATTCTATAAGGCTGCCAAGGAAAAACCTAAGACACATGATTTTGCTGGCAGAGCAGGTGTTCTGCTTTGAGTTGTAACATAGCTGGTGAGCAATAGCTCATGAAATGACCTTCTTTTCAATTCTCTAAAGGGCAAGCATTTCTTGGGAATCCATATATTTCATGGAGTTCTAAATCAACACTGTGTTGACAAGGGCCCTCTCCAAATCTCTTGCTCTGACTTTGACTTTCACAGACTTGGGCATTAATCTGATCACTTTTTCCTTTCAGACTGCAAGTTTAAATGCATCACTGAGCAGTGAGTGTGTGCTGCAGGCTGAATGTGCAGGGCCTGTCCTTCTCAGACAGAGGTTGAATGTGGTTGCTGAGTCTCCTGGTATTCCAAGGCTGGGTACAACTGCCTTTTTGTTGGTCAGAATGAGGAAAATGCTGCTGAGCTCCTACCATCCCACGAGGTGAACCAATGCCCTCATGGTCCTGATTAGTAACATGAGCTTGAGATGCAGGGAATCCATGTTATTCCTGCACTGACTGGGCTCTCTGGATCATGCTTTGACTGGATCATGCTTTGACTTGCTCAGGCTATGGTTCCATTCCACACTCATCGCCTGGAAGCTACAAGTGAAACACGGATGAATTGGATGCGCCAGCACCAACCTCAGCCCAGGGCTTCTCCTCCATCACATCATCCTGCTCCTCCCTTCCTGCTGTGTACCCAGTAGGAGTATCTCCTTCCAGAGCAGGGTGAGTAGTCATGCTCTGGGGATCTGTCAGAATTTCATAGGAGACTCTTGGGTGATTCCAGGATGAAGGAGTAAAAATATCCCAGGGGCTACTCTGCCCAAAGGTTCCTGGAAGAATAGAGACAAAGTAATAAATAATATGCATACAATGGAAGGTAACCTGTCTTCTAATCAGAACAAAACTTACTCCTAACACGACTAGTCTACTTGACCCTAGTGATGTTGCTTTAATCAGGCTAAGTTGTGTCCCTAGAGTTCCATAAGAAACAATTTCAGGAAAGTGCCCCTGGAGACTGAAGCCTAGAATGCTCCCCACAAAATGTATCAAGGTGTTCATAAGCTACTCAATAATATAAGAACTTGCAGAATAAATTCAAAATAGTTCCAGACCTACTTCAAGAAACATAAGCTACAGGACAAGATAACCTACTGCAGCAGGTCTACAGTCCCTCTGAGCAGGAGGTCAGACTATTCTGGTTACTCTGGCCATACATACCAGGCCTTTGCCCATTGCACAGCTCCCCCAACCAGTTCTGAATTGTCTCTACCAAGACAAGATCCTCATGATTGGAGAATTCCTTACCAGACTCACTGCCCCAGTCCCACCGAGTTTTCTTAAGTTCAAATGTCTTTGACTTTGCTAATTTTGGGAGAAAATAAGCCAACTTTATGCTATGGACTGAATTATGTCTCCTCATTTGTATGCTGAAGCCCTAACCTCCAGTGTGACTGTATTTGGAAATAAGGTCAATAAGGAAGTAACTGAGATTAAATAAGGTTGTAAGAGCAGGGCCCTGATCCAGTAGGATTATTGTTATTATAATAAGAGACACCAGAGAGCTCTCTATCTATCCATCAGGTGTGGACATAAAAAAGTGGCTGTTTATGTCCAGGGAGAGAGGCCTCACCAGGTCCAATCTGCTGGGACCCTCACCTTGGATTCCTAGCCTCCAGAACAGAGAAAAAATATCTGTTCATTAAGCTGACCAATCTATAGTATTTTGTTATGGCATCCTGAGCAGGCTAACACAGGTTACTTCAGAGAAGTCATGGCTCAATGGAGGCCAGATCTTTGGCCCTTAACTGGGGCTGAGGGGAGGCCAAGTGCCTCTACCTATGTCTGCTCCATCCCTGGTCCACAGGCGCACTGTCCGATTGAGGGAAGATCACAGCAGAATATTTTCTTCCTCTATCAGCTCCAAACTAATGAGGTAAAAGGAGAAAAGAGAATCCTCAAGTCTGCCACCACATGAAAGAGACATTAGATCAATATGTCAGTGCTAGTGTAACTTAGGTTGGAACACAGAAACCAGGTCCATCTCCTGAATTCTACTGGAAACCGTTTTCCCCACCTCCTGCCACACCACACTCCCTCCAAATGCCCCAATTCCAGCCCCAAACATCAAGCTAGATATACCGGAAACCACCTTGTGGGTGATCAGTCTGAGCAGAAGATCACGAAGCTGAGAAGAACAATCTAGCAAGAGTTCAGGTATCTCCCTTGGCATTGACTCCTTTCAACCCCAGCAAAATATTTTAAACCTACTAAGCTTAAAAAGCTGTGCTAAAACACCAGTTCAATTCAAGGAAAACAATAATCCATTTTTAAGAAAAAATGAAGATTTAAAATCTGTTCCTTTAGTACAGGTCTTGCTTTCATCAAGAGCGTAAATGAAATGCCATTTTCCTCTTTTGACCAATTCAGAGGGCTTTTGAGAGAACTGATTTTGAAGAAAAATTCTTTTCACCCTTTAACAAATACTTGAACAATAAAAATAATGGTACTTACGATGTCACCATGCTGACATGGGCCCTCCAGAAGGTCACATCTAAATTGAAAGAAAGCACTTCTGAATAGGATGGGGAGTTAGCACACGTGGTGACATGGGACCATTCCTGCAGGACATGTGTGCCCTGGATGTGCGTCCAGCAGGCAGTGCCACAGGTCATGCAGCATTAGTTTCATAAGTGATCACTGAATGCCCGCCAGGCCCCAGATCAGGTCTAAAGGCATAGGAAATGGGAGCTGTGCAAGATAGGGACTGCAATGATTCTCTTCAGTGCTTAGGGTCTGGTAAGCAGGAAGAGAACGCAAGTAGCCCAAAATGATTTTTAAAATAGTCTCATAAAAACTGCACCTCTTGTTATAGTTTGTATCTTGACCCAGCTTGGTCCAAAGACCCATGTGTTAAAAGCTTGGTCTTTAATGTCATGCTGTTGGGAGGTGGTGGGAGATTTGAGAGGCGAAGCTTTCTGGGGGGTATTAGGTCTGTGGGGACTGTAGTTTTGAAGGGGATTTTGGGACCCTAGTTTTAGTCTGTCTGTCTGTCTCTTTCCTCCCTCCCTCCCTCCCTCCCTCTCTCCATCTGTCCCTCCCTTCTTTGCCATGAGATGAATGGCTTTGCTCTACCACACGTTTCTGCCACGATACGCTGCCGCAGGCCCACAGCAACAGGGTCGATTGAACTGAAAGCTCCAAAATTGTGAGCCAAAATAAACCTTTTCTCTTTACTGGTTGATCATCTCAGGTATTATAGTAACAGCAAGTGGATTCACATACTCCTAGTAGCTAGAATAAAAACAAATACATAGCACACCATTTTCATTTTTAAGTTCTGATTTCTTTGCTATTTAAACTTCTTCTATGATCGTATAGGAAGTGGTGCATAAGGAGATGTACGTGATTATTTACCTCTGAATTGGATTTCGGGAAATATATTTGATGCAATATTATATGACCATTTAAAAATGAAGTAAATGTAAATATGCTTATTTGGAAAGTTGCCTAAGAGATAGAAAGGAAAAATAAGTTCTGAAAATTATGCATTTTCTTTGTGTGTGTTTATATATATACATACATATATATTCATACACACACACACACACACACACACATATGTGAAAACCTTCTGGAAGGAAATTCACTAGAAAATAAAAATGGAATTTAGGGGGCCAGAGATGTAGCTCAGTGGAGCTGAGCCTGCCTGGCAAGTACAAGGTCCTGAGTTTCATCCCTGGTACTGAGAAAAAAAATGGAGTTTAGGGAAGTAGAGGTGGTCAGAAAAGCAACTTAATTTTCCATTACATCCTACTGTTTGATTTTTTTTTTCTAAATGAGAAGTTTTATAGTTATAGAAAGAGTTTTAAGTTTTACACATATTTTTGTTACCTCAAAAGCAATATATATGCAGGGAAATTTAAAAAGATAGCTTTCTAAAAGAGGAGAAAATAAATATGTAAATGTAACTTCATCTACAAAGAGATAAAGATATTTAAAACCTTGTATATTTTTCTAGACTTCCAGGCTTGCATGTTGTCTTTTGTCTTAATAAAGACAGAATCATAAATACTATTATATGATCTGACTTTTTTCATTTAACCATTTATAATAAATATTTTTCCTATGAATACATTTTTATATACAGCATCATTATTTAATGACTAAATAATATTCCAATATATTATACCATCGTGTTCCCCTTATGTTGAACATGTAGCCTGGTCTATTTTTTCCTCTCTTTCATAAACAATATACTAATGCCCAATTATATAACAAAATATCTTCAAATATGCACATTTATTATTTCTTTTAGCCAAACCTCTAGAAGTAGAATTGCCATTTAAAGCTTTAGCTACATACAGTCAATTTGCCCTTTAAGCAGCATACAGCAGTTCACCCTCCATTCACGAGTGTATGTGTGCCCATTTTCCTGCTGAATATTTTCATTAAAATATTTTTCTGTACATCTGCTTTGAAAGGATTTAAAGATAATCCCTCTTCACTGGCACAATTTAATTTTACAAGGCAGAATCTTGCACTAAAGTCAAAGCTCTGCCTATCAGAGTGTTTAACAATGAAGAAGTTCATGGCCTACTCTTGGGAGGCTGCAGCTCTGGTCCCCACAGGCCATACTCCTCGATGTCATAGACATGCACAAAGCCTTGCTGGTCAGCCAGGTAGACAAGGGCATCTCCTGCTGTCACCGCGATGCTGCTCACCTGGGCTTTTCCTCTGGACTGAGACACACATGGAACTCATGAAAGAAACATACACACAATGGCAAGTGAAATGCTAAGCTTGGTGGATGTTTAGAACTAGTTTATCTCCTGTGAATCTTCCAGTGAGTTAGAAATGCCCTGAAGACAAATAATGCTAAGAGCTTGGAGCCTGGTAGAGTTGTTCTATTACTTAGTCAGTCTAGGGTCAAGAAACAAAACAAGGGCTGGGGATTTAGTTCAGTAGCACCGTGCCTGCCTCGCAAGTGCAAGGTCCTGAGTTCGATCCCTGGTACCAAAAAGGAAAAAAAAAGAAAAGAAAAAAGAAAAAAGAAACAGAACAAAACAAAAAGCCAAACCCATAGCTGGGAAGTTAACCAGTTGGCTGCCCAACTTACAGGAATGAAGTTTGTGAAAAGGCCAGTGCCACCAAACAGCTTCCAGAAGGTGACAGAACCTGGGAGGGAGAGAAGCAGAAAGATGGGAATGTTTGCACGGAGCCCACCTAGGCTGAGGTTTTGAGCCAGTGCTGAAGCCACTGTGGCTTCACTACAGGGACAAATATCTCTTCTTCCTTTTCATTTGGTTTACTTTGATCAGTTACAATTATCATATACTGGGAAGGAGACCCTTTCTGTTTGTGAGTTTTGGTTTCAATGACTCAGTAGCCTTCTTTGGTCGATTCATCAGGGCAGATTTCCTAACAGAGAAGGGTTCCAGCTTTGGCTGTGAAGGAAAGTATGGAAGATTTGTGACATGGTAGTAAACAGTCTTTCACTTTGGGGTGTATATGTGTATTTATTTAAACATACTGTGAAACTTGTCTTTTCAGAGGGATTCACTAGAGATTATACTGTTATATATAGGGAGAGGGTCAGGTAGTACACTTTTAGGGAGTGGGCACCCCATGCATATATCTCCTCTTGGGAGCTTCTTGAGTCATAGTGTAATCCTCCTCTTCTTCTCCCAGGTGAGACAGGATGGTGTGCACCTCTATCCAGGTAAAGCAGAAGAGGTGGTACCTCAGAGAGATGGATGGAGAGACAGGCATCCAAGGGCACCTGGTGCTAATAAGGCCTGCAGTTTTGAGGCTGGGACAACGAGGATGAGCAATGGACAGGAGGGGATGTCTCTTGATAGCAAGAGAATAAACTCATACCTTGTGATCAAATGCATTCAGCTCTGTGTCTCCTCCTGCCACCAGAATAGAACAGGTGGTTGCTTTTAATTTGCAATTTTACTTAAAACCCCAGAGCTTTCAGGCTGGACTTGGGTCCTTTTGTTACACTGGAAGATTGGAGGTTATGTTACTTGGTTAATGCCACTTAGCTAGTTAGTGGCTTGGCTGGACCAGGAACCCTGTTCTCTAACCCCTAGTGGGCCTTCATTTTTCTCCTCCATAAAATGAGCAGGCTCCAGAGCTGACCCCTGAGGCCCTGCAAGCTCTTCCTTACACGGTTCTTTGCTCCTCTTCTTTTGGTTTCTTTGTCCGGCTGTCTATGGGTGAAAGGTTGTGTTTGGTATTTATTTAACCTGATAGATGATGTCCTCTGGGCTTCCTCCTCTTCTGGGGATGGCTGGTGGCCCATTTCACTTGCAAATGGCCTGAGCGCTCAGCCAGCCCTTTGGGCAAGCAGAAGGGGAGCAGGGTGACTCAACCAGAAGGAGTGGGATGTGGGGTCCTTGCTCCTCACATCACTTCGATCCTGGAGGTCAGTGTTGAGGTCAGAGCATCAGATGGGTGAGTGGTGGTGCTAACCTGGGCTCTAAAGAAAGTAATGCCTTTGGGGAAATTCAAGGCTTCATGAGGTGAGCAGTGAAGCTTAGGGACCCTTCTTTGGCCAACTTGGGTCTAGAAGGAGCTTGTCTTAGAAATGAGGGGAGATGGCTACCATGGGGCTTGGCCTCACCTCCAGGTCCATTGGCAATGAGGGAAGCAGCTGTTGCATTCAGCTTGGCTGCCCGAGTCTTCAGGAAGGAAAGGCAGGAAACCCTTAGGTCTGGGCCAGGAAACAGAGGAGAGATTATGCAGCTCACAGCTCGCTCTCTCTCTCTCTCTCTCTCTCTCTCTCTCTCTCTCTCCCTTTCTCTCTCTCTCTCTCTTTCCATCCTGATGGATGATGATGGGCCAGCGGGAGGGGCTGAGAGATCTGAGACACCCAAGCAGGTGAACATTCAGGAGCTTAGCCTGGGCCCCTGCAGACATGTCCCAAAGGGGGCCCTCCGTAAGAGCTCCTGAATTGGAACAATACTGATTTATCTTTAATTCGCCTTTTATACTAACTACAAACTTTGATCTACATGGTGATGGATTATTATTCCTGTTGTCAGAAAAGGAGAGGGGAATTTAGACAACTTAAAAGAGTTGCTTAAGATCATAAGATGTTGTTCACTCCTTCCTTCATTTGTTTTTTATCTGTAACTAAGCATGTCTTAGGGACCAGGAATCATGCTGAGTCCAGAAGAAGTAAGTGGAATCATGCTGAGTCCAGAAGAAATAAGAGATCTGAACTAAACTACTAAGAACTACCATTAAAAATGAACAAATTACCATCAGCACATGAGGGAGGGGAGAGAGTCAGAGAAGGCTCTCCAGGGGTGTGTATTTACTATGCACTCTTGAGAAATGGAATGGACATTGGGCTGAGCAGGTGCTATAGGGGAGGCAAGTGTCAGCCCCAGACCTTCACAATGCAACATCATCCCAAATAAATTCACCTAGTCCTGCTTCCTTGGTCTTCTCCTTATTTACTAGGCTTCAGGTGCCATCAGCACAGGGCCCTTGTCTTGTCCTTTTGCTCCTTGTCTCTAATCCTTGCAGAGTGCTTAGTGCATAGAACTCGAATATTTGTTATTGAATAAAAATTCTGTGTACCTACCTAGATTCAAACCTCTAGGAGCCACAAAGAACATTGTTACCTGGGTACAGGGAGCCTAGACAAAGAGCCCTCCTCCTCTGACTCTCTTTGAGCCAGAGGCCTCAGAGACAACTATTCAGACTGGAGGGCAAATGGACAGTCATACATAAATCAAATTTTATTATGCACCAAATGTTCGTGTCTCTCCCAATATTCATATGTTGAAATACTAACCCTCAATAGAATGATATTTGGAGATAAGTGATTTGGGAGGTAATGAAGTCACACAGGTGCAACTTTCCCTCATACAAGGAACTGGTGGCCCTATAAAAGGGAACTCAGAGAGTTCTCTTGTTCACTCCTCCATGTTGGGACACAAGAATTCAACGTCCTGTGCAGACAGCCCTCGACGCAACTCCACCATCCTGGCACTCTGATCTTAGACTTCCAGGTTCCAGAATTGTGAGAAATAAATTTCTATTATTTATAAGTCATCCAGTTCACAGTACTTTGTGGTAGCAGCTTGAGTAAACTAAGACACAAATTACATAAATTATGGAATTGGTCTTGGAATTAAATACTGGAAGTTGTGCTTTCAGGTCTCATCATTGTGAGTTAATTATCCCACAGTTCTTATTTTGGCCTGACTCTGAGTTCAGCACCAGATTGTGCACTCAGGAACTGTGGTGGACCCATCAGACTCAGGCCCTGCTTTCCAGGGCATATTGATTACAACCAGGACTGGCCACTTCAGGGACATGGTCTACGTGCGAGGCACTAACTAGGCACTTTCTCAATATGACTGCCTGCTATGATCTCAATCCTAGGTAGGCTTAAAATGCTCTGATCTTACAGGAGAACCTGCCTTTTGGAAGAACCATAATGTGCCCGAGGCCACGCAACTACTAGTAAAGCACGACTACTCATAGAGGGGATAAAATTCAAACCTGATGTTTGCCTCCAAAGCCCATACTTTTGATAACATATTTTGTGGTTGTCCTTAGGGGGGTGAGTCATCTAAGAGATAGAATATAGGGACACCTACATGGTAATGTGGCTCCTGCCAGACTCCTTGGCCTCAGTGTCTTCCTGATGCCTGGAAGACACTGATGGTGATTTGAGCTAAATGTTAATCACTCTTGGTTATTGGGCTCCTGGGAGTATTAGACTTGGGGGAGCGAGGCAGGGACATGGAAAAGGGAAAACTCCCTTCATTTGCACACACTACACCTGGGGAGGCTGCAGAGGTACAGAAAATGAGCACACATACTGGCTTCCCACTTATTCTTGTGGGGCTTAGGAGAATGTTTCATTTCCCTACTTCTCTGTTTTCTTTATCTGTGATACCTACATCACCTACTTCACAGAGTTTTAAAGTGAATCAAATGAGACCCTACATGAATAGTGCTATGTAACCTTGCTAGGAAGGTTGATGGGATTTAATGAAACTAAAGTGCCTGGCCTAAAGTCATTTAACAAATGGCAGCTGTTATAATGATGGTTACTTAATCATTGTTTCCACTCAGTTTCCTAATTTATGAAAATGAGTACAGTAGTACCTCTCTTTCAGGCTCAATGCAAGCACTAAGTGAGAAAAAGATTAGAAGTATGTAGGAAAGGGCCAGGGATTTAGCTCAGTGGTTTTGCCACCTGCTGCACAAGCGCAAGGATCTGAGTTCGATCCCCGGTACCAAAAAAAAAAACATGTAGGAAAAATGATTGACATATGAGAGATATTCAACAACATCGTTGTATTGTTTTCCTGGGTAAAAACACCTTTGACTTGGAATGAGCTCACTAACTTCCTGGATTTTAGCTTGGTTGAAGGCTCTTGGTCTCTCTCTTTTATACTCAAATTCTTTCTTTTTGATGTGGAGGAAGAAGCAACAATCCTCATTATGAGGAAAAATGAAGCTCAAATGTTAGAAAGTTGGAAGAAAGACTATGTTTTCAGCTCATCTGGTTTTATAAACTCATCTTTCTTTTTAAACTGCCCCTTTCCCTGAGAATGACTTCCCTGGAAAAGCTGGCTAGGTGATTTTCCAAATTGTATGGTGACGGCTTAACAAATCCGATGTGAAAATGAGCACTATGTTTTGGGTTAACCTTCAAGAAGAACCAGCACTGCTCTTTCCTGGAAGGGTGTGAATTTTCACATATTCCCATCTCATATGGCAATTCTGGCAATGTAGAAGTGCAAGCTATTGGTGACAATGGCTGGGTTTGCATTACTGGAGCAGAAGAAGGTTTTCCCCAAACCACTGAATAGTCACATAACTCTGAGCAATAAATGCTACTGCAAACAGGGTTTTACACTAGAACTAAAGGTCAGCATCACATTCTTGGCCAGGGAATTTATTTTCACTCTAATGGCAATAAAAACAAACCTTTAGAGGGAAATGGAACCATTTTTGAAAAATGTAGATGCTCAGAGAGAGCTTCCTAGAACAATCTAATATATATATGGATTGCAATATGAGGCTTTCTGAGGGTTTGCCAGCTGGGCGGATGCCCAACTCCCTGTATCTCCTCTATTTGGCTCTTGACAGAAGAGTGTCTGTAGTCTGCTGCTTTGGAAATATAGGTCTAGACTCTGGATGTAGAGAGCAAAGGTAGGGAGAAAGCCCTTTTGGCTGTGAGTTCCAGCCAATTTTCTAATCCTCCACAATCAACAATGAAACTGATAGAAATCTGAATCCTCCATTGTTTTCTATGTTTGTTTACTAGATGGTTTAGCATTGAAGGGTAAGGGATTACCAGCCCCAAGTCCCAACCCTAGCACTGTGGCTGGCACCTGGCAGTTGCTCATCAGTAATAATAAATAAATGAACAAACCTGTCATCACATTATCAGAGAAAGAGGGGCTTAAAGAAATGGAACAAAGCAGAAAAACTTGGGGGAATGGGTGAGAGGGTGGGGGAAAGTTTTGCAATATAATATTCAAGCTCTAAAGACAAATCCAGGTAGGAGTAAGTCATGGTCCATCAGAGGAAGCTGAGGATGAGGAAGGCATAGAAGCCTGAAGACTTTCAATTGGATGAGGCACCAAGAGGTGATGTCTGTGCTGGGCTTAGGGGGATCAGGCTTGCTAGCTGGGTAGAGGAAACATGATAAATGATAATAGAAAGCTGAGAAACAAAAGTAAGAGTTAAGCCCCCAAAGGGGCTCAGTGGGTGTGGAGCATCCTCTTGGTTGGTAGTGGAGGAGCAAAGGGCTCCTAGAGGTCATGGGCTGTCCTGTGAGATGGGCTTTGACAGACAGGTGCTCAGGGATAAAAGCTGAGCTAGTCAATCTCTTAAGCTCCCTTCCAGCTATGGGAGTCTCCATCTGACAAGGAAAACCCGGAAAGAGGCTAAAGTCATCCTAAGTGGGAAGTGGTCTAAAACCATGACTCCTTCAACTTGTCAGGTTAAAACCTGTGCTGAGTTGTTTGAAACCTGCTTTTCACCTACCTTTCTGAGGATCCGGGACATCCGAGAGGCTAGGAGTATTCAGTTTGCAGCACACGTGGCCTGAGATGACATTCCGGATGATAATTTCCCCATCATAACTGGAGGTTGCCAGAAGAAAGGGCGGGCATTGTGCCACACAGAGGATCTCCTCCCCGTGCCCATGGTTCTGAGAAAGAGAAGGACAAAGCTAAGAAATAAAACCCTAGATCATCCACACCTAACTTTATTTCCTTGATCCCTAAAACACAGGATCCGGTGGGACTCCTCTTTCTGTGGTTTCCCATGTCAAAAGCTCCTCCATGGATGGTCTGTCTTGAGGTCAGCCAAGAGGTGCTTTAACACCTCCTAGGGCCTTACCTTTCCCAGGAAGTGCAATTTCCAGGAGCTTCCTTACCTTCCCACAGTGCCAGCAAGCATATTATTGATGAGATCACCTCACTGGCCTGAAGGGTCAATGTAAATAGGACAACAGAACCCAAGTACTGGCTTAGATGATTTGCTTTCCCAATAGCCAGAGGTTCATATTCCAAGGCCAGGGTAGATTGTAATTTAGCCTCTCCAGGGCTCCCATCGGTCTCACAAAGTGGCTAACCTGTGCTGTGAGGAATTGAAACTACTGCTGTCCTCTAAAGGAGGAGTTTTGGATGTCAACCCTTAAGAAAGATAAGAACTCAAAATGGACTGAAGACCAATGTTACAGAGTTCAGAGTCTCTCATGGCTGGGCAGTTACTATGTGAGGGGAATTGACTTCTCTGGGCCGTATGAAGATATTCGTTCACACCTGCCCTCATGTACTTGCCACAGAGTGTCATTGAGCACCTGTCCACATGTCACCTGACATTCCCCTCCTGCTTGAACACTGCTAAGAAGGTGACATTGTGAGACTGCTGGAAAAGAAGAGGGCAATGGGCATCTCCCCAAACTCCTGTTTTCCAGATCCCACTCCCACGCCACCCCTCCACAGTGTATGAACATTAGGATGCTTCCTCTTTTCACGGGCCCTCTGCCTGCAGAATAAAGCATACGTATCCATTATGGACTGAATATTTCTGTCCTCCCATCTCCATTTCACATTTTGAGTCTCTAACACCTAAAGTGACGATTGGAGATGGGGACTTTAGGGAGCCCTAGAGTCAGACAAGGTCATGAGGATGGGTCCCCATGTTGGGATTAGTGTCCAAATAAGAACAGGAAGAGACATGCAGTTCACTCTTGCTCTGCCATGCAAGAAGGTGGCCATCTAAAAGCCAGGCAAGTAGCCCTTACCAGAACCTGACCTAGCTGGCACCCTGATCTCTCTCCAACTTCCAGCTTCCACACTGTGATAAACAAATTTCTATCATTTAAGCTGCCCAATCAGTGACATCATTTTAAGGCAGTCCAAGCAGACCAAGATAATACTTTCAAGCTCTAATTTTCCAGCCTCATTTCCCTCCTGCATTAATACATCTGCCTCTCAAACTCTTCCTAGCCCTTCCAAACAACATGCTTCTATGTATCCAGGCTTTGCTCATACTGCCTCCCTTCTCATCTGGATTGCTATTCCCTACCTTGCCCTTCTGAAGAAAACCCTAGTAAACCTTTTTTTTGAACATCCTTTTTTTTTTTTTTTTTTTTTTTTACCGGGGAATCTTTTAATTTTTAACCCTATGTGATATCAGAACGTTAGTGGTTCCCATTTCTGTCCTCCTCCAGCATTTTATACATTATTATATTGGCTATTTTATACACTATTATATTGCCTATACAGCATGGCTACTATTTCCTCAGTTGTTCATCTTCTTGCCATTCTATGAGATTCTGGAAGCCAGGAATCACTTTTTTTTTTTTTGGTACCAGGGATCAAACTCAGGACCTTGGGCTTGTAAGGCAGGCAGCGGCCCCACTGAGCTAAATCCCTGGCCCCAGGAATCACATTTCATTCATGGTTGTGTTATCTTCACCTGTCCACTAAATACTATGAAAGTGCTCACTCAATAAACACGTTGCATGAGTGGGAGACTGAGGGACCACGCACTTCATAAACTTATACAAGACTTCTCTTACAGTGGGCATGGCTTCTCTGGGTATTGTGAACATAACCTCACATTTTTATCCGACATCCACTAAACTGAAGGCCTCTGAAGGCAGGCAGTGTAACTGGTTTTGCTCATCACTGCATCTTCAATAAACAACACACACTTAGTTGGCCAGAGGCACTTAGCAAATGCTTGTTGAGTGAAAAAATATTTATTGGGCAACTATTATAAAAATCAAGCTTTGACTTAGGTCTGTCTTCATGGAATTTGTATTCTGGTGAACTGCACCTTTTGCAATATTTACAGGGGACATAGGTGAGTGGGGCAGTGGCACAGATGGGCACAGCGGCTTTGCTTTCTTTACTTGTCTTACTGGTTTGGGATCTAGATAATTTTGAGGAATATTGTTAAGTTCCAGGAAGCTGTGGAAAGTTGAGGGCATTCTGAGTCCTAATAAAAAGTGCAAGCAGTCCCATGTTTGGCTCTCTTAAGGCCACAGGGGAGGCTCTCTGGATGCACAGTGATGGCACAGTGAATACAGAGTTTGGCCCTCCAAAGAGAAGCTAGAAGTGGTTGCTTCGTTGAGGAAAATCACACCCACCCTTTGTCCTGAGCTGACCTTCATCACTTTAGGACTCCCAGTTAGAGAATGGAGAGTTTCGAGGTCTCTGCTCCAGCTTAAACATGAGGTTATCTCGCCTTCACAGAGAAGAAGGGCTACCCGGACCTGAGTGTGCCTGGGCCTGATAATAAATCCTGTCATAGAAGAGGCTCTTGAGACACTGTGCCTACCCAAGGCAGGCCTAGGAGATGCAGGGGAGCCTCTGGGTGAAAGAGATCCTCATCATGTGCCATTGTGTGTTCTGAAGGCCAGGCAGCAGACTAGGGCTTACCAAATCATCCTGCCAATGTGGCTCTGGCTTCCAGAAGTGATGAAAGTCATGTGGTGAATCCTGTATCCAAAGCCAAAGAGGACACGTTATACAAGCAATAAAATGAGCTGCCAACACACTCACAACTTCAGAGAGAAGGTGTTGGCACATTTCATAACCCTCCCCTCACCCCACCAGTGATGCAGATTTTTGAAATGTCAAAGCAAATTCCCTTAGTGCCAGTGAGAATAAAAAGCAATCCACTCCTGACGTTTGGGTTGATTGCATTTCAGCAAATCATATGTCAACTGACAAGCTCTCCTTGGATGGGCTGCATAGTTTTGCCTTCATAATAAAACCCATAGCTGCAGTGTGCACTAAAACCAAAGCCATTGGCCTAAGGAACCTATAATACCAAAGGACGAATTCAGTGCCAAGACTTCCCAGGTCGTCATCTCTCAAATCATTCTGAGGATGCAAAGCTTAGGCTGTGAAATATGGTGCACTTTTGGATGAATAAAGAACTTACAATGTTTAAAGACATTCAGAAATCTATGACCATCCCGCACGGCAAGCAAGGAAAATAAAATGCCACTGGCAGATTTAAACTTAGTTTTAGTCAGCATTTTCAATAATCCCCTTCCCCAGCTCTAAGCCATAAAAAATAATTTTCTCTCTGTAGAGCTGCTCATGGATGGCATTTCATTTCCTTTTTCTGCTTTGAGAGAGACTAAGGCATAAAGACAAAGCAAGAGGCTGAAGGAATGAAGTAAAGGCTGGACAACTGACAGGTTAATCTTCAGCCTGGAATGGACACATGCACAGTATAACTGGGCAAACTGGCGTGCTGCTCAGGAGGAGGGACCACCAAGTAGGGGTTAGGGGGTGAGGACCATGGACAAAGGGTGAGAGGCAAGTACAGAGCTACAGGTGTTCGACGCACAGTCTGCTTTGGATTCCCAGGGATACCCTCTGTGGGTGGCCCAACAGCATTTCTACCTAGCACTTCTTCCCATGGAAGGAAATACAGGGATAAAACTGGGGAAAAATGAGGTAAAAATATTTTTAAACAAACAAAGAAAGAGGAATACAGGGAATGAACCTTTCTATCATAACCTGACTTGTACCAGATAGCAATGGCACTCCAAAATCTATTTTTAAAAAGGTGTGTGTGTGTTTGTGTGTGTGTGTGCACTTATCAGTCTGAAGGAGGGTTTTGAAATAGCATCGTTTTATACATTTCACTTACAAAATACACATTTATTCTTCTGTCTCATCCAACAACTATAATACACCTAGGACGACAACAGAATTTTATATTTCAGTACTTAAGCTTTTCATCTGTTTAATTTTTTGTGTGGAATTAATATTTAGTTTAGTTTAATACATGTGATAAGTGAAGAGAACAAGAATATAAGCTCTTTTATTTCTTATAAAGAATGAGAGGAAGTGTTATTTGATAAGTTGGGGTCAGTGTTTTAAATAGCACTTCAAGGGTTAGGAGACAACTATGGTACCCCACCATTTCATGTTACAGAGGCTCCTCCATACAGTCGCCTTCCTGAGGATTACTGCTGAACCACAGGGAAAGGGCATGTACAGAAATTGATCAAGCATTGCTTCACCCTTTTAATGTTCAGGAGGGAATTTACTGAGCTTTTGTTCTTCGATTTATGGTGGTTGAATTTAATTGCTCCGGGCTCTGATTTATTCCTTAATAAAGTGTTTGGTGGGAAGGTACAGAACTTTCCATCTCTGTTTCTAAATAGTTGTCAAAATGTGCAGAGAATTGCTCCAATATTCTAGGCAGACCCTAATTGCCTAAATCACCACTAGGAAAAAACTGGGGTCCTCAGGAATGCTTTGACACATTTTCTTCTGGGAAATTTCCTACGTCTTTTTGATATCTTCTCCTAGGATAAACTTTGTGTTGAAAAATAAGACACAAAACACCCCACTAAATATAATCTCTCTCATAGTCAAGCTGAATACAACTCACTTATTTTGGTTCACTTCCATGTAGGTGCAATCACAGAGTTCACTCTGTCTTTCATCTAGAAAGATAACATCAACATTTATAGCAAACATTTTTACTTGTTAGTTCTTGAATCAGCTTACATAAATTGACTAATCTAACTGATATTAGGGGGAACCACTATTTACTTTCCAGTTTAAAAAACACAGTTAAAAGTGTTTCAAGTTATTAAAGCACTGTTCATTTGGGGGCACTGTCATTGCCTTACAGTGCTGATTCTGCCCTTGCTCAGCTGTGAGAAGAAGCTTAGCTTCTCCTGACAGAGCCCTAACAGCATGGAGCTTACTGCACAGACAGCAAAGACAGAACTGGGAATTACAGGCTTGTGGCTTAAGCCATATGATTTTGACTTTTTTGTCTCTTACTCTGAGTTTATTTATCCCCCTTGATAGTTGAAGAATATTTGCATTCCATGCAGGACTTCTACAGGCCAGAATCAAGGAAATTTAACCAAGAACAGGCATAGCAAATGAATGAATGAAGCAAACAGCCTGGATGGGGGTGGGTAACAATAACAAGAAACTTGCTTTCCGTTTGTTAATCTAGATTTTATCCCTATGGAACACAAGCTCAGAGTCATTAAGTAATATGAAAGGCCAGAGAAAAAGCATGTGGGGTTGTTACACAAATCTTAGGTTCTCTCATTTGATTTCTTTTACATTCACTATACATGCCTAACCCTGCATCAACATGTTATGGGGACCACTTAGGAATATCCCAGCACCACTTGCCCTGTTTTAGGGTGTGCAGGCAATGTCCACTGTTGTAGCTCCATATTTTTAGACAGCCGTCGCTGCCTCCAGTAATTAACCTAGGAAACAGAGTGTTCCATTGGGGTGACATGACAGGCATGGAGCTGCTGAATGGTTGACAGCACTGGAAAGGCACATACCTTCTTCCACTGGCGTCAAAGGTCAAACAAGTGATCCCAGCATGGCCATGAGTCCCAGTGAATTCAGATAACTGTCTTCCTGTTTCGAAGTCCCATATTTTCACCATCTATATAAAAATGTTGAAAAGTAGTGACCTAGAGATACTGGCAATTAAATTAAAGGGGGTTGGAGTTTAGAAGTTTAGTTCCACAGCTACTACAAGATAAAGTGTACCCTGAAAGCATATATACTGAAAGTGCAAGATGTCTTACCTGAACGTAATCATTTACTAGGATTTTCACAACAATGCCACAGAATGGGTGGCTTCAAAAATTTTCAGAGTCACCAAAAGTTGGTGGTCCTTAGTTCTTCTATGATATAACCAAGTGAACAAAATATGGTATCATGATATTCATAAATTTGGACTCTGTGGAGATCTTGGGCCCTACTCTCTCCTCCATAAAAGTCAAGTGCACAGTGTGGTTTGAATGTTCTGGATTGTGATGGTGACACCACACAGACTTCACCCAGCACCATATCTACATAGCGGGCACTTACTGAAATCACTGTCACTCATTTAAAGTTGGAGAGTTTTGTTGTGGATTAAATACGAAGCATTCCCCAAAGACTCAGGTACTGAGGATTTGACTCCTCATTCAATGTTCAGAGGTGGGACATAGAGGGATGACTGGATCATGAGGTTGCTGACTTCATCAATGGACTAATCAATTGATGAGTTCACAGCTGAATGGGCTATTAGTAGGTAGGGCTGAACTGGAAGAAAAAGAAAAAGTTTTGACAGATGAAGGAAAGTAGAGGAAACATACATGCGGGTTCCAAGTGACTTCTTCCTTGTTGAGGGTGCTGAGGATGAGGGTCACCTCTGTGATGCAGTGCTGCACTGTGATGTGGGGTGTTGACTGGGGGTGGTCAGAAAGAGGGGGAAACCTGCTCGAGTTGGGGAGGGAAGAAAACTTTCATAGCAAATGGGATCTGAGTTGGACCTGGAAGGCTGCGTGTGTAGGAAAAGAGGAGGAGGAGGAGGAGGCAGGAAAGTTTCGGAGTGGAGATGGGAAAAGGCCAGACAGAGGAATAAGCAGGATGCCGAGAAGGTAGTGCTTTTGGCTGCATAGGAGTGACCAGAGATTGTGATAACTACGGGAGGTAAGCACTTCCTTATGAGCGTGGGCCCCAAATAGGCAGGAACTTACTTTCTTGAGGATGCGATGAGACTGAGTCATCATAAAAATACTTTTGACCAGCATACCAAGGAATCTGTTTTTTAAATACTGAATCAAATCCTTGTGATGAATCAGGGCAAGAACCTGTGTGAGGACAGTGGCGTCTCCTTAGGAGTGAGGTGGGAATGAAAGAGTGTGAAGATTGTGAAGCTGTGTGATCCCACAGCCTGGAAGGCCTGGCTCTGGAAGGAAGCAGGAAAGGAGGGGAGGCCACATGCTCTGGTGGCTCCCCTGTGATGCTGCCCAGGCCAGTGGCTCAGAAAATGATGAACTAATAAAGTCACACACTGCATAAAGATGCTTCAGTCAAGCATCCACTGCGCACATAATAATAGGCCCATGAGATTACAATGAAGCTGGAAACATTCTATCTCCTAGTGGTGTCATAGCCATGTTAACATCCTAGTGCAACACATCACTTACATGTGTGGGGTGACACTGGTGTACACACACCTGCTATGCTGTCGGTGGTGTAAAGAGTATTACACATGTAATTATGAGTACTACATAATACTTGATAATGATGATGAATGACTATTACTGGTTTATAACCCATATTTTAATCATTATTGTAGGGTGTACTTCTATTTATGGAAAAAAGTTTACTATAAAATAGTATCCCATGTTATTCTGGCAGAGGCTTCAATATCTTGTGTTCACTATTCTCCTGATTGCATCTTGTCTCTTGTCCTTGATTTGATCTTGTGGTATTTTATTCATCATTATCCTTGGAGGGATAGGCCATAATAGGGGTATATATCTAATAGGCCTGAGTTTGTAGTAGGGTATACCATCTAGGTTTGTGTAAGTTACACCCTATTATGTTCACACAACGAAAAAATAGCCAACAATGCCTTTTTCTCAGAATCTATTCCATTGTTAAGTGACATGTGACTGTATTAGGAGATTTGAGAACATTAAAATATCATGAGTGTAGTTGAGGGTGTGTCTTCCCACTAGCACGAGGGCAGAAGAAGACGGAATGTGCACATTTCCTTCATTCAACAAGCAATGATTATGTCACCCACCCACCATGGATTGAGCTGTGCCACTCATCAGGGATGAACAGTGATCCCACAAGCCCCTGGGTGAGGGGAAGGGAATGTGGAAGGCTCTGTCCTTTTATACGTGAATAATTACAGTTAGAGCACATTATGCCACACAAAGGAATATCGGTGAAATAATATCACCAAGGTAGTCCTTCCAAATAGGTCATATTACAAGCCACTGGTGAACCTAGTTTCCTCCATCCTATTCTGTAGAAGAAAGTCCAAACAATTTGGGACAATTAGCAGAGTAGACCTGAGCCTCCCATTACGTACTTCCAGGGATAGAATATCCTCAGAAAACACTCCCTAGCTCTAACATGAGGACAGAGAGCCTAGGGCCGCACTCACAGGGACACCACTACCAATGGAGCAGAAATTGATACTTACAGATGCTTCGGAGCAGCTGACCACGTGCCTGAAGGCTGGGTTGGACCTGCAGCACACCACAGGCTCTTGGTGGGAAAGCACCAGGTGGGGCTCTGGGGCAGGTCTTGTTCATGAAAAACAGAGACAGTGAGAGCCTGAGCTAACTGCATGACATGGATACCCAGAAGGGGACTATTCTGTGTGCTGACCTCCCACAGCAGCTCATAGGGTGAGGCTCTGACTGCTCAGGTGTGCAATTGCTCTGATTGCTCCTCTGCTCCTTGAGAGAATAGCCAAGAGGATAGGCTTTGGAGTCTGGGACCCTGGTTAAGTTGCTTAACTGCTCAAAATGCCAACTTTCTTATCTGTGTAATAGGAGCAATAATACCTACTTCAAAGGGTGGTTTTGAGGATTAAATGAGAAACCACACAACAGTATCAGAACAGAGCATCACATATATAAATGGTGAGAATAGTGGCTGCTAAACAAGAAAAAGGAGAGCCCGCATCTCCTCTGTAGGGGAGGGGAAATATGATTCTGTGAAATTACATAATGGATCTTCTCCACAGTAATTTAGATCTTCCCCCAAACAAACACAAATGGAGTAGCTCAGGAAGGCAACAGTACTTCCTGCTCCCAGCAGGGACAAGGCCAGCCAGATCCTGGGAGGCCTCGCGAGGTGACTTCCAAGGGTGCCCAGGTGTGAAGTGCAAACAGAGACTTTCCCTATGAGTTATGGTGGGAGGTCAGCCCACAGAAGAGACAGACCTTGGGGTTAAGCACCCCAACCCCATTGGAATAATTTCTTCATCTCCATAATGGAATCATGGAAATTTTCTGAGGAATAAGAGGGGGACACATAAATGTCTGGAGGAGCTCAGCATGCAACGGATGCTTAGTACAGAAAGTTGGTCTTGGTGTCATTGCTCTGTCATCTCTCGCCATTGTTCCTCTGCTGTGTAGCCCTAAGGCTCAGCTACAGGAGAGCAGCTGAGCCTCTGACAGATCTGAAGCATGGGTGCCCAGAAGGCTCTTTGAGGAAGAGCAGGTTTTGACATAGGGATGTTGAGAACTTCCCTATGAACCATCCCTGCCCTTTGGAAAGTAAAGGTGGAGTGTGGTCTAGGTGGGAGGAGGAAAGGGAGTCCTAGAGAATTCAGGCCAAAGAAGAAGTTCAGGGCATGGTCATCAGGCTTGTTACCCTTTCCCAACCTTGGGAAGAAGGGCCTGAGGTCTCTACTTTACAGATGAGCATTACACAACTCAATCCAGGTCACATAGCTCCTGCATGACAGCAGGGATGTGAAGCAGCCTGGGATAGAGGACATTTTCTGGCACTTAAGTGTTGGCCGTAGAGACTGAGGTTGAATTTGCCATGAAGTGGAATTTCAGTCACTTTGCTCAGAAAGAAATCAATCAAGCAGGCTGTTTGTTTTACACAATGCTATCATGTAGGACAAACAGCAGTTTGATTGACTGAAGCTTCTGTTTTCAGCTGGTTGTTTTGGCATCTTGAATGAGGAGCCTGATTTTTTCCAAGCCTGGCCAGCAATCATATGTCAGTCACTCTGCCTGGGCTCTCTTGTTTCACACAAGCCTCAGAAAGCAGATTAGGAAGGTCATGACAGCCACCAGCCAGCACCTTACATTCTAGACTTCTCCATGGAATTCTGATGTATGAAAAAGGATCCCGTTTCTATAAGGTTAATTCTTGACCTGTGATTTGATTGCTGAGTACAATAAATAGATTTGAGACCCCTCCTATGCGTAAACTCACAAACTAAGAAGACACATCCATGAGGCCATCCTCATGATCTCTGGCTCAGAAAACCCAGTTGCCATTACGAGACAGATAGGATTTGAAATATGCGAATTGTGATATTCACTCGTAAAAGCTTTCCTTGGATCCTGTTTACTGACTTTGGATTTGTACTATTGCTGAACACCAAGGGGAAAGGCTGCTGGTCGGGGAGGAGGAATGAGTTTATGTTGATACATAAGAGAGGGATAATGGAGAAACAAGAATGAGCCACATTTGAACCATGAGCTGGGTTTAATGATATCTATGCTTTGGGAATATAGAGAGTCTTTTGGTTCTCAAAGCACAGGTGAGGCACCCTGCCACCTTGCCAGCTGGGCAGGGGAGAGTTCTTCCCCTGCAAAGCCTGAGAGAAGGTTTAAGACTTACCTCACAGCCATTTGGCCTCTTAGGAGTGTCTGAGGGAACCTTTCTTTGGAGGCTCTAGAAAAGTGAGGCCAGGCAATGTGCCCTTTATTGCAAGATTTTTTTTAACTTAAGGCTTCCTCTCCCCTTTGATGTCTTGGAAAGCTTTGGCGTTTCAATGACAGGGACAGTTGCAGGGAGAATGCCAGGCACTGAGCACCCAGATGTAGAGGGACTCATCCCAGCTCTGCTCCAGTTCTGCCCTGGGACAGTGCATTCCTTTCTCTAGGCCACTGCTTGCTCATCTGTGAACCTTCAGGGTTGGACTTTTGAGAGTTTTTGGTACCTGGGGAAAGAACTTAAAACTCTTCAGTAAGACTAGTTAGTCTCAACCTAGGCAGGGCAGAGATGGACACCTGGAGCTGATTAATACTCAGTGCTAAGTGGTCTCTCTGAGCACAGAAGGGTAAGCAGGCGAGTATTTGTTTTCCTTTCAGAGGACATCATGGCAGCATGGCTTGGCAAAGGAGTGCCAAGGTAACTACAGTGCATTTACATGCAGAGGGGTCAAGGAGACTTGGGTGTCAGGCTTAAAAACTCCTGGACAGTGAGGCCCTGGGCAGGAAAGGCCTGGTAAGGGGGTCTCCATTACAGACTCAGTTTATCACCTAGGCGTGTGCCATCCCTATCTGGCTGTCCTGCTTTACATGTCTGAGATCTGTGGCATGTCTGAGATATGAAGCAGCCAACAGAGGTATGACCGACCCCACCTGGGAGCTCTCTCTGCTCAACTGTACTAGTCAGGTTGATACCTTTGGACAGCATAAGCAGCACCCATATAGTACATTTTTGAGAAGTTTATTCCAGGGTAGGGCTGGTGGATACACTAGGCCAAAGAGGTTGAGGAGGTTGACTATAGACTTTTGGATAGTATAGGAAGATGGTGCTGGAGTAACTAGTAGAAAAGATTAAAGACAGCTACCCAAATATAAACTGCAAGCTAGAGCCACAAGATCTGTGCACAGAGATCCCAACGGTACGTCATGAAGGAGAAGGTAGACAACAGCCACAGTGGGCTCTAGAGAACCTTCTAGAGTGCTGAGTGTGTGGAACCAAGGGTACAGACAGCCCAATACCTTAGTCACAGGTGCAAGAGAGCCACAACATTGGTGGCCACACACAGAGCTTGGAGTTCTGGGAGGTAGAGGCAGGCTGTGAGCTCTCCCTTAATGCCACTGGCTTTGGAGGAAGCTGCGAACAAGCAGCTATAGGTTTCCAGGTCCCAGATCTGAGGAAAAAATGGGACAAATGGTAAGTGTTGAACAATATGCTGGCCTGGGTTTTCCAAGCTGCTCTCTGTTATGAGGTCTGATTTGGCTTGATTGGATGTGAACACTGCCACATACCCACCCACCTAAAGGAAACAATTTAAAATGGGTACCTTTTGCTTTGCGTGTAAAGGAGGCAGAGAGTGCAACCTGAAATCCTGATCCCTATATCATACTGAAGCTGCCCCAAGAGAGGAGATACCTGTATTGATGTCATTTGGGGACTGTGATTTACATCCCCCATCCAAGGAGATGACTGGTCACATCTGTTCCCATAGACCCAACTTTCACAATAGAGCTGACACAATGAATGAATCTGATTTGTGGTACAGAACTGACTTTGTCTCCATTCCTAATGCAGGTCCTTAAGATGAATGACTAGACAGATATTTAGAAGACACAGGAAACAAACTTCAGGGTAGCTGTTGGTTGGGGACATGCTGGTCCAGAGGCCACCTGCCTGGACTGGAATCCAAATGCTAACACATAAAGGCTGTGTGGTTTTGGACCAGTTCCTACCCTCTCTTTCCCTCAGTTTCTTCATTTATAAAGTGGGGAAAATAATAATCATACCTTCCTTATAGAGTTGTTTTAAGAAATGTTAAAATTAATAAAAAAGAGTGCTTAGAATAGTATTTAGACCATGGTAATTGTGTTCAGATTATAATAATAATATCATGGTCAATCACTTACCATGACAGGTGTGTAAACCACGCCATGGTTCTTGCATTACCTTACCATTGTGTGACCTGGTGAGGGCTACAAGGGACAGGCAGGAGCAGATGGGCCAAGCACAAAACTGAGAAGTTATGGTAGTTATGAGGGTAGTGTGTCTAGTGAGGTAACATGAATAAGACATCATGTTAACTGCTTTACACACGTTGCTGCACTCACTCTTTATTTTGGGTTGAATTCTCTCTCCCCATTCATATGTTGAATAATCCTGGTATCTCAGAATGGAGTTCTATTTGGAAATGGGGTCATTGCAGATATAATTTGTTAAGAAGAGACTCTACTAGAGTAGGCTGGGCTCCTGAGCCAGAGTGACTAATGTCCTTTTAAGAAGAGGAAATTTGGAGGTAGATACACAGAAGGAGAATGCTATGTGAAGATGAAGGCAGAGACCAAGGTGATGCATCTACAAAGCAAAGAATGCCACAGATTGCCAGCACCCTATCAGAAGCAAGTCAAGAGCCCTGGAGCTGACACTCTCAGCCCTCATGAGGAAACAACCTGCTGACACCCTGATCTCTGACTTCCAGCCTCCAGAACTTTAAGACAGTACCTTTCCACTGTTAAACCCACGCAATCTGTGGTACATTACAGCGGTCTATTAGTTTCCTACCAGTATAAATATCTGTGCTAATCAATTTATAAGTAGAAAAGTTTCATTTTGGGTCAGTGTGAGAGGTTCCAATCCATGATCAGTTGGGAAGTTGCTGTGAGACCTGTGATTGGCAGCTCATCATGGCAGAAGTGTGTGGTTAAGCAAAAGAAAGTAAGGAGGGGGCCAGTGTCCCACAAGCCCGTTTAAGGGCATTCCTCCAATGACTTAAATGTTCCACCACCTCCTGGAACACCAGGCTGGGCACTAAGCCTTCAACATATGCACATACCTAAGATCTCTAGAGCATAGTCCTGGCAAAGTGATGATCTCTTAAACCAACTCTGGGAGGCAGGCATTATTTATGAGTCTAAGTGAAGTTAAGTAACTTGCCCAAGTTGACAGCTACCATACTAAGTCAGGAGTCAGGCTCAGGCCTGTCTTCCTCTAGAGCAGAAAAATGTAAAGATGAGAGTGGGTGGGATGCATTTTGTTAGGGCTTCTTCCCCTCCATGGAGTCTCCAGGAAACAAATTAGCTCTGATGAAATTTGACACCTTTGCCTCTTAAACCAGACTCTAATAGGCTTTATTTATACTCTGTTTATTTCTCATTAGCTCTTTTCAGCAGTTAGCAAATTGATAGTGAAATTTCTAGCTTGTCTTTTTATTTGTGCTTTTAGTCATGGAATTGAAGGGGGAATTTTGCCTCTTGGGAGGTCAGCACAGGGGCCACAATAGTGACTAAAGTAAAATAATCCCATAGAGAAGACAGCTCTGAGGACTGTCTATTCAAGGGACCTTCTTTTTCCTTTCTGTAATGTTGGTTTGTTGGAAGTTGCTCATTTTCCTAGACAGAAAGGCAACATACACAACTGTTATCAGTTACATTTCCATGGGAATCTATTTATTTCTTGATTTCTTCTCATTGTGTTAAGGTTTAGCTATATGTCCCCCCCAAAAGGCTCATTGTGTTGAAGATTTGGTTGCTGATGGGCTTTTTGGAAGTGATTGGACCATGGGGTCTCTAGCTTCATTAAGTGGACTAGTTAATTGATGAGACCAAAATTTGATGGCATTATTAGAAGGTGATGGACATAGGAGGTGGGTCTTACTTGAAAGGACTGGATCAGGGAGGTGTGAACTTGGGGATTATATCTGGTCCCCAGATCCTTCTGCTCTATCTCTCACTCTCTTTCTGTTTCCAGACACCATGAGGTGATCAGCTTTGCTCTTACATGATATTCTGCCTCACTACAACCCTAAAATTAATGGAGTCAGCTAACCATGGACTGAAGCCTCTGAAACTGTGAGCCAAAATAAATGTTTTTTCCCCTTTAAGTTGTTTTCCTCAAGTAGTTTGTCATAGCAACGAAAAGCTAACACACACTGTATGACATGGGAGCTATGGTTTGAATGTATCCCCAAAAGTTCATGTTGTGAATTTAATACCTCAATTCATATGTTAATGATATCTGGAATTATGGCCTTTGGCAAGTAATGAGCTCATAAGGGTGGAGCCCCCATGAGGGTATTAGTAGTTCAATTAGAAAAGTAACTCAAGCCAGCATGGTTGTCGTACTTCACCATACGATGCCCTCCTCCATTTATGAAGCAGCATGGGACCCTCACCAGATGCCTGATGCCATGCTCTTAAACTTGGCATTAGGTTACTGAGAAAAAAGGGTTTTGATGAGGAGTAGGAGCACACAGCTAATCCTGGAGGCTGGGAAGAGTGATCTCATTAAGATGCTGTGCAGGGGTGCCTGCCAAGATCCAAGAGGAAAAAAGTGGGGAGAACACTCCTCATACTGAAATCGAGGTTGATTCACCAAATTGACATCAAATCTCCCAAATAAAAACAGTTACCACAAACTAGCCATCATTGACCTATCTGCTGTCTGTCCAGTATCCTCTTTTTTTTCTCTCTCTAAAAAGTTGCTTTCTGACTTCAGGAAACAGGCATAGGACCCTCATCTGGCCAATCTGTGTCCTTCCCTCAGATTTTTCTGGCTGGAGCTGGTGGTGCAACTGGAGTTGGGATGTGAGCTCAGAGCTATGGGTGTCTATATCCCCCACAATTTGGAAAGAGAAACACTTTCTGCAGTAGGACCTGATGAGGCCAATGTGTACCAAGGAGCAGAAGTGAGAAGCACGGGAAGAAAGATCCAGCTCTGAACCCACCTGCCCATGAGGTTGACTGTCCAATGGCCTGATTTCAATAACGAGCAAATTTCACTTCATAGCTTAACCTATTTGATTTAGAGTTGTGTCTCTCAGGCTTACAAAATCTTATATAGTAAAACTCCTCTGTAGTGACTACAGTTTATACATCGCCTTTAATGAACTCAGCTACCTTACAAAGTGGATCTCTCTCCCATTTTAGAGGAGAGTAAATCATTGTTGAAAAGAATTAAATTGTTTAGTTCGGCATCCAAGGCCACCTAGGTTGTGGTAATTTCAGAATTTACAGTTAAAGTTGTATGTCTCCAAACCTTTCTGTACCCCTTCCTCAAAATCTATGCTTCTCTGTCGACCCATAGAGTTGTTTTTTCTAAATTGCTGCCAAAGTAAAGCATTTTCCAGTTTCTCAGTCATCCACGGTGGTCATGAACTCAGCAATGGGACTGTGAGGAAGTGATGTATGTCATTTCTGGCTACCATTTTTAATAGGTAAGTGTGCCTCCTCTATTCTCGCTCTCCTTGCATGTGGATGAAAGGGACTCTGGAACCTAAGGAAGGTGATGTACAGCCTCCAGCTGGAGACAGCCTGGCCCTTGAATGGGAGGAAAAGCTCCCACTCACTAGACTACTGCACTGTTGACAGAAATACACTTTTATTGTTTTAGCCCGTGGAAAACATGGAGTTTTTTTTTATTATAGTGGCAATCCTTACATGGTACACATACTATCTTCCTTCCAAGAAATAGCTTTCCTTCCATCCTAATTCTAGTCAATACAAAGCAGCCCTCTTTGTGGTTTTCAATGTTAAATTTACAGAAATAACAAGTGAAACAAGAAAACCTGAATCTGTCACTTTACTCTCCTTTATAGAAAGCCAGAAACCAGCAGACTCTTGAAATGTTTTGTGTGTCCCCATGATTTGAAGGAGTAAAATATTTGGGCTGAAAATCAATTTGAAGAACGAAGACTATCTGATCAGGCATGCTAGAAATCTAGCTGTTTGGCTCCTAGTTGATTAGTTTTTATTTGTTAGGAATAATATATTCTAAAATAACTCACACACCATATTTCCAAGACAGGATTTCAATATATTTTAAACACACATTGGGAAGTGATTCAATACTCCTGAATCATCACAGGCAAGATGCTAATCTTGTAATCATGAGTTTAGATTGGAAGAAAACAGAGAGGCACTAGGAAAAGAAAAAAGGATAGAAGACATGTCCCCACACACAGGATTATGATTATCTCAGAACGGCAAGTGTTGAATAAAAAAAACATTAAAAATATGAGGTCACCAACTTAGTGAGTTTGGATGAATTTGATTTTCAACATAAATCAAAACCAAAGTTTATAAAAACTTACCATTTTAATCAAGTTTGCACGGAGGAGCGAATTGAGTTTGGGCCCTGGCTATATCACTAACTGATTTCAGTACCTAGTTTTATATAAAA